ATGAGGTGTAATGACCAAATAATGATGTAAAGAGTCTAGCACAAGCCTGACAGGAGCAGGGGTGTAATAAAAGCTGCTACTGTTGGCCCAGGGTGAGGTGGGAATTCACCTGTGCCCAGGCAATGTGATCCATTGCTGGGCAGGACTAAGGGCTAAGGAGTGTTTCCAGGGCTGGCAGCAGCCTTTCTCTTCCACCAGTTGGTGATTCTCCATGGTTCTGGTTCTGGCTTCATGAATGATGAACTGGGTCTCTCCTTCATCCTCAGCCATTTAACCCCATATTTGAGGATGGCTATTGGCTTGCCCTAGTCCCAGCCAAGCTCTCTTTCCTTCCAGTTCAATATTTATGGTTATCATCAATCAGTTTCCACCTGGCCAAATCCTTATCTGGTGTCCCTTCCCTGGTTCTGTCTAGTTTGTCACCTTCTCTTTCTCACAGTATGGTGGCCAGGAGGGGACTGGATACTTAAGACAAGGACTTCATTTCCCAGAAAACAGCAGGCTCCCCTCCTGGTTGGGTCTTCTGATTTAGGGGGAAATGATTATAAGCTTTTGGACAGAATGAAAACTGCCAGTGTATCTGTCTCCTTTCTATCTTTCCCCCTTCCTTCTCCCTTTCATTTCTCTATTTCTCTCTTTTCAACAGAAAATTTCCATCTCGCCAGATTTCCCAGTATGATTCTTATGTAACCAATATTTTGGAACCTCAACACAGGACTTAGCACTCATCCCTGGTGAATTTCATGTTGCTGGTTTCCACCCAACTTTACAATCTGTCAAGGCTGCCTTGAATCTGCTCCAGTCACCCATTGTATCGGAGCTCCCTCCCAGGCAGTAGCCATCTGCCAGGTGAAGAGTGGCTTCCTCTGCCTCCATTCAAGGGACTCACGACAACGCTGGGCAGCCCAGGGCCAGGATGGAGCTTCCTAGAGATCTCCTTCAGCTTCATCAGAATTGTTCAGTTCTAAATCCGACTCTCTATGATCCAGCTCACATTTACGTCTTATCTATAAGGACAAATGCCAAACGCGTGGCTGGATCAAGATAAGTTGTCTGAAGCCACCCAATTGCAGTGACGGAACGAGGAGGCAATTTGACTGGTGTTCAAGGATCAAGGCTTAATCTTTTCTTAAATGCATACAATCACCCAAATAGAAACCTGTTCCTGAAACTTGCCACGCATGGATGTCAAAATATGCTTTTCAGAATTTGCTATTTACACCTTTGGGTAAAATCAAACACCAATGGCTCCTGCTGTTGTATTGTTCATCAATGGCTTCCCCCGGCACTTCGTGTCCAGTCCAAAGTCCTCCCCATGGCCTCAGGGTGTTCCTGCTCCCATTCCCCATCTCCTGGATCCTCACCCACCTGCTTCCAGCCACATGGGGCTTCTTGCTTTTTTTGAACACACTAAGCCAGCTCCTACCTCAGGGCCTTTTCACTGGCAGCTGCATGGCTCAGTCATTCATCTCCCTGCTTATCTCATCAGAGAGGCCTTCCCTGACCAACCTACCTAAAATGTCAGCACCCCTCCAAACACCCACATACTTTTTTTTTTTTTGAGATGGAGTCACGCTCTGTTGCCAAGCTGGAGTGCAGCGGTGTGATCTTGGCTCACTGCAGCCTTCACCTCCTGGGTTCAAGTGATTCTCTTGTCTCAGCCTCCCAAGAGCTGGGATTACAGGCATGTGCCACCACCATGCCCAGCTAATTTTTGTATTTTTAGTGGAGATGTGGTTTCTCCATGTTGGCTAGGTTGGTCTCCAACTCCTGACCTCAGGTGATCACATGCCTCAACCTCCCAGATGCTGCGATTACAGGCGTGAGCCACGGCGTCTGGCCACCACTTACAATCTATCACTCTCTCCTCACCTTTATTGTCACTCACAGCACTGACTGCCACTGACCATACATTTATTTATTTGTTCACTTTTTCCCTCTGAAATGTAAGTTCCGGGAGGACAGGGACTTTGCTCTGTCCACTGCTGCATCCCAGTACTGGAATAGGCACGTGGTAAGGTGCTCCATGAATATTTATCTCTTTTTTTAATTCTTTTTTTTTCTTTTTGAGACAAAGTCTCACACTGTCACCCAGGCTGGAGTCCAGTGGCACGATCTCGGCTCACTGCAACCTCCAACTCCTGGGTTCAAGTGATTCTCCTGCCTCAGCCTCCCAAGTAGCTGGGATTACAGGCACCTGCCACCATGCCCAGCTAATTTTTTTTTTTTTTTTTTTTGGTAGAGACAAGGTTTCACCATGTTGGCCAGGATGTCTCAAACTCCTAACCTCATGATCCGCCAGGCTTGGCCTCCCAAAGTGCTGGGATTACAGGCATGAGCTACCGCACCAGACCAAATGTTTATATATATATATATATTTATATATATATATAAATAATATATATTTATTATAAATAATAAATATAAATAATTATAAAAATTATAAATAATAATATATATAAATAATATATATATATATATATATATATTTTTTTTTTAGGAGTTTCATTCTTGTTACCCAGGCTGGAGTGCAATGGTGCAATCTCAGCTCACCGAAACCTCCGCCTCCTGGCTTCAGGCAATTCTCCTGCCTCAGCCTCCTGAGTAGCTGGGATTACAGGCACGCGCCACCATGCCCAGCTAATTTTTTTGTATTTTTAGTAGAGATGGGGTTTCAACATGTTGACCAGGATGGTCTTGATCTCTTGACCTCGTGATCCACCTGCCTTGGCCTCCCAAAATGCTGGGATTACAGGCGTGAATGTTTATATTTTTAATTAAAAAAAATTTGAGCCAGTGTCTCAGTCTGTCACCCAGGCTGGAGTATAGGTCAAGACTCTAGGCAGCCTGGACCTCCGGGTCTCCAGCAATCCACCTGCCTCAGCCTCCTGAGTACCTGGGTCTACAGGCACATACCGCCACACCTAGCTAGTAACTTTTAATTTTTAAGGCAGAGTTTGGCTCTTGTTCCCCAGGCTGGAGTGCAATGGCGCAATCACAGCTGACTGCAACCTCCACCTCCCGGGTTCAATTGATTCTCCTGTCTCAGCCTCCCAAGTAGCTGGGATTATAGGCACCTGCTACCACGTTCAGCTATTTTTTTGTATTTTTAGTAGAGAGGGGGTTTCACTATGTTGGCCAGGCTAGTATTGAACTCCTGACTCAGGTGATCCGCCCACCTTGGCCTCCCAAAGTGCTGGGATTACAGGTGTGAGCTACTGTGCCCAGCCAATTTTTATTTTTTAGAGACAGGGTCTTTCTCTGTTGCTCAGGCTGGAGTGCAATGGCGTGATCACAGCTCAATGCAGCCAAAAACTCCTGGGCTCAAGCGATCCTCCTGCCTCAGCCTCCCAAAGTGCTAGGATTACAGGCATGAACCACCATGCCTGGCCAAAAAATATTTATTGAACCTGGGAATGAACAAACCCTGCAGGACCCCAGGGAGACCTCCCCACCTCCGCCGCTCAGCTCCACTCCCTCACCGCAGCTGGAGAGCTGTCCATCCTTATCCTCTTTCCTGGCTGAAGGCCCTTCTTGGTGGGGAGGAGGGGACATCAGCAACGAAGCATGCTTTCTCCTTCCTGGCATGACACTGCCTTCCTCAGGCAACAGCTGAGCCAGCCTCCCTCTGCCCCTCTCACTCCAAACAGCTTTAAAGGCTTTTTTTTTTTTTTTTTTTTTTTAAAAAAAAAGAAGGCAGGGAGAACGTGTTATTTTTCCAAGCCTCAGGTCGTTGTGAAGTTTACCCCTCTGAAACTGTAACAAATATAATATTTAAAGCTGCCCTGGCCGGGCGGGGTGGCTCACACCTGTAATCCCAGCACTTTGGGAGGCTAAGGTGGGTGGATCACCTGAGGCCAGGAGTTCAAGACCAGCCTGGCCAACATGGTGAAACTCCATCTCTACTAAAAATACAAAAATTAGCTGGGCTTGGTGGTGTGCCTGTAATCCCAGCTACTCGGGAGGCTGAGGCAGGAGAATTGCTTGAAGCTGCGAGGTGGAGATTGCAGTGAGCCAATATTGCACCACAACACTCCAGCCTGGGCAAGAGTGAGACTCTGTCTCAGAAATAAATAAATAAGGCTGGGCATGGTGGGTGTAATCCCAGCACTTTGGGAGACTGAGGCGGATGGATCATCTGAGGTTAGTAGTTTGAGACCAGCCTGGCCAACGTGATCAAACCCTGTCTCTACTAAAAATCCAAAAATTGGTTGGGCAGGCTGGGCGTGGTGGCTCAAGCCTGTAATCCCAGCACTTTGGGAGGCTGAGGCAGGTGGATCACAAGGTCGAGAGATCGCGACCATCCTGGTCAACATGGTGAAACCCTGTCTCTACTAAAAATACAAAAAATTAGCTGGGCATGGTGGCACGTGCCTGTAATCCCAGCTACTCAGGAGGCTGAGGCAGGAGAATTGCCTGAACCCAGGAGGCGGAGGTTGCGGTGAGCCGAGATCGCGCCATTGCACTCCAGCCTGGGTAACAAGAGTGAAACTCCGTCTCAAAAAAAAAAAAAAAAAAAAATTAGTTGGGCATGGTGGTGGGCACCTGTAATCCCAGCTACTTGGGAGGCTGAGGTAGGAGAATGTCTTGAACCTGGGAGGCAGAGGTTGTAGTGAGCCAAGATCGAGCCACTGCACTGCAGCCTGGGCGACAGAGCGAGACTCTGTCTCAGAAAATATAAACAATCAATCAATCAAGCTGCCCACCAGGGACACAGCCTGCCTTCTCTGACGCTCCTACCCCCATCTCACCCCCACCCCAGACAGGTTCATCCCCGTCCCATCTTCCTTGAGGTCCTGCCACACTTTCTCCCTGTTTTCCCTTACACCTGCCACCTCAACTCCATATTCCCCGACACTCCCCAAACAGTGATTTGCAAACTTTTCTGTAGAAGAGACCCTCTCTGCTCATACTTCCACCAGCCCTAGGTCCCTGTCCGAAACATTCCTTTGGTCCCCTCTCCTCTGGCCCCAAAAGGAAGCAGCCCTGCATCGGCAATGGGGCTCAGCCTCTTTATTAGGTAGCAGGAGGGGGTGGCCCAGCTTTGTTGGGAGTGGAATGACACCAAGGGGCCCTCCAGAACAGCTCCAACCGAAAGCTTGGAGGCAACTTATACGAGAAGCAGGGGTGCCGGTCGCACGCCCAGCCTTCCTGCCAGAACAGAGGGCAGGCTGCACAATCACTCCTCCTCTTCATCATCTTCTTCCAGGGGTGGCCGTTTCCGCTTGAAGAAGCCGACCTGGGGGTGCACGGGGCCAGGGTCAGGGTATAGAGATAATCTGTAGGCCCCAGAGCACGTGTGAGGAACTATGCTAGCCACAAGGACCTCCCTGGACCAGCGCAGAACACGAACCCCACTGTACTCACAAATGGATGCCTTTTGACATTTAGAGATAATGCATGGAACAAATTGTTCAATTTTTTTTCCCCCTGAGTTTTTTCTTTTTCTCTCTTTTTTTTTTAGACGTAGTCTCGCTCTGTTACCAATGCTGGGGTGCAGTGGTTCAATCTCGGCTCACTGCAGCCTCCACCTCCTGAGTTCAAACAATTCTCATGCCTCAGCCTCCTGAGGGTTTACAGGCGTGTGCCACCATGCCCGGCTAATTTTTAGTAAAGACAGAGTTTCATGAGGTTTCACCATGTTGGCCAGGCTGGTCTCAAAACTCCTGACCTCAGGTGATCTGCCTGTCTTGGTCTCCCAAAGTGCTGGGATTACAGGCAGGAACAACTATGCCCGGCCTCTGAAATTTTATTTTTTATTTTATTTTTAGAGACAGGGTCTTGCTCTCTCGCCCAGGCAATTCTCTCACCCCTTAGCCTCCCAAGTGCTGGGACTACAGGTGTGGACTACCACACCTAATTAAAATTTTTTTTGTATAGATGGGGTCTCAGCTGGGCTCGGTGGCTCACGCCTATATCCCAGCACTTTGAGAGGCTGAGGCGGGTGGATCACCTGAGGTAAGGAGTTTGAAACCAGCCTGACCAATATAGTGAAACCCGGTCTTTAAAAAAAAAAAAAGAAAGCCGGGCGCGGTGGCTCAAGCCTGTAATCCCAGCATTTTGGAAGGTCGAGGCGGGTGGATCACGAGGTCAAGAGATTGAGACCATCCTGGTCAACATGGTGAAACCCCGTCTCTACTAAAAATACAAAAAATTAGCTGGGCATGGTGGCGCGTGCCTGTAATCCCAGCTACTCAGGAGGTTGAGGCAGGAGAATTGCCTGAACCCAGGAGGCAGAGGTTGCGGTGAGCCGAGATCGCACCATTGCACTCCAGCCTGGGTAACGAGTGAAACTCCGTCTCAAAAAACAAAAACGAAAAAAACAAAAAAAAAAAAAGAGGAAGAAAAGAGATGGGGTCTTGCTATATTGCCCAGACTGGTCCCAAACTCCTGGCCTCAAATGCTCCACTGCGCCTGGCCCCCACCTGGAATTTTTCTTATACTGAAGTTTGTGTCTCCATGGCTCAATCCTATGATGATGATATGCATTTGATTACTGTAGGTTCAGTATGTGATTTCCCTAAAAGCACCATGTCTCCCCAGGGCTTGAGCATGTCTCCAGGTGCAGAGGAGCAAGCGACCCTCCAGCGCCACATAGGAAGGGAGGAGTAGGGTCTAGACCAGTCCTTGGGCCTCTTGCCTCACTTAAGGGGAAGGACAGGGCTAGGAGGACATGTGTCTTGTCCTCGGGAGCAGCCAGATTTTCCTGAAGGCAGGACTTACACCCTCTCTATCCTCTAAACTCTCTGACTCTTCTTGGTGGTGGGGGTGTCTAAAGCCTTCAGAATTTCAGGTGCTATCCTTTCCAGGGGTATGTGTCTGTAAGGGTTCCCTGGAGAATGACATTTTTGTTTATTTTATCTTTTTTGGTCTTTTTTGTTGTTGTTGTTGAGATGGAGGCTTGCTCTGTCGCCCAGGCTGGAGTGCAGTCGAGTGATCTTGGCTCACTGTAACCTCCGCCTCTCAGGTTCATGTGATTCTACTGCCTCAGCCTATCAAGTAACTAAGATTTACAGGCATTTATTACCATGCTTGGCTAATTTTGGTATTTTTAGTAGAGACAGGGTTTAGCCATGTTGGCCAGGCTGGTCTCGAATTTCTGACCTCAGGTGATCTGCCCACCTCAGCCTCCCAACGTGCTGGGATTACAGATGTGGGCCACCGCACCCAGCCGAGACATAGATCCCTGGTCCCTGGATCATGCACTTCGGTGGGCCACCCTCTCTCCTTGACTCCCTGTGCCCCACTGGGGACTCCACCAGCCTTCACACCTCACCTTCCACATGGCCAGAACCAGGAGGGTGAGCAGCAGCAGGCCGCCCAGCACGCCCACCAGCACCCACCAGATCGGAATGGCCCTCTCCTCCAAGGCCCGGAGCAGCTGAGTCCGCACCTGGAGGCAAACCCACGAGTCTCCTCAGTCACCTTGACACCTGCCCTTGACAAAGACCCAAACCTTGGGCTAGTGACCTCCAGCCACACCCGACCACCCCTCAGACCCTCCTGGCTGGGCACTGACTAGGGGACAATCGGTCCTGCAGGTCTGGTCTCTGCTCCATACCCCCACACTCACCTGAGCTTCCCCTTGGGGCAGGCTGAGCGGGGGCACAGTGTAGGGGAGGGAGGACACGTTGAACCATGCGTGTGACTGCAGCACAAACTGATCCAGTGGCTTCTGGACGGGTTGGGGTTGAAAGCTGTTTACACCCACACGAGGCCTATTGGTTGCAGGAGTCCAGGCCCCAAATTCCCGGCGGGGAAGCCCTGCCTCTGGCCTAATCCCGCTGCAATCCCCCAGAGTAAAAACTCCCCAAAGTAAACCTTTGCTCTCCTCCTGCCCTCCCACACCAAGCCCCGCCCCTCCCCAGAGCAAAGTGGCCCCTACCCAGAAGGCCCGGCCGCGCCCCCCATGCATGCCCCACCTGGCGGAGGCTGGGGAGCCACAGGAAGGCCAGCATGGTGACCATGGCCCGCTGCCCGCGCACCATCTCCTGCAGGTCACACTCCACCACAGTACAGGGCACTGAGTCGCAGCTCTGAGGAGAGGCGTCGTCAGTCCCCAGCTTGTCCTGGCCCATCACCCCATTATCCCATCACCCCCTCATCCCCTTACCCCCTGGACCCAAAGCAGAGGGGGCTGGGGTTTCAGGAAGCGGTGGCCTTCCCATCAGGAAGGGCCTTGGATCCAAGCTTTGCATGCCATCTCTCCACGGGCTTGCTCAGGTAGTCCCAGAGATGCAGGGAGGGGTCATCCCCACCTAGCGCAATGCCCAGATCTATGATGACCTCTCATTGTTTTTATTTTCCTTAACGTACTGGAAAGCTTAAAAAAAGTGCTGCTGTCTCCCAGCTCCCCGCAGACACAAGCCGGCATGCTCCTCCACTTTCACTTGAAGTGCTCCCTGGGACCAAGCATGACCCACAGAGGCTCACACATACCCGGACCCCTCGCCCTCCTCCCATCCCCTCTGCCCCTTGGCCCCGGGGAGGCCCTGCTGGAGACCAGAGAGCCTGCTCACCACGGTAACGGGATCCTGAAGCCTCGAGGGCTGCCCGGGCTCCGGCACGAGGATCTGTCTGCGATCCCGCTTGTGATGGGCCGGGTGGATGGGGGAGGGGCTGGCGGTGGGCAACCCCCAGTCCACCTGGTGGGGCAAAGGAGCGTCAGGCCCAGTTCTCCCCCAGACCCCAGCCCACAGAGGTGCCTGGTGGCTAGTCTGGGCCCCCCTCACAGCTCTTTCTTCCACCCAGCTCTCACCTGGAGGGGGTTGATGGGAGGCTGTGCGGAGCACTGAAGGCCCCCCTGGGGCTGTAGATCCACGACGTAGAGCAGGTCGGAGGGCTGGGACTGCCCGGGGAGGTGGATGCGGAGGTGAAGGCCGTTCACAGTCCCAGGGCCATTGTTGTGGAGCTGGCGGTTGGTGGTGACAGGGTGCAGGAGCTGGGCGCCTCACCCGAGGCTCTGAGGACCCGCGCAGCCCAGCCCAGGACGCGAGGCGCTTCCCTACCTCATAGGTGTGCTCCACTTTGGGTCCCCAGCTGACCAAGCTGTTCTGCTCCCTGTCACCTTCTGCTGCCACCACCAGGGAGGCTGGAAACGAGTTCCTACAGGTGCCCAAGACCCCCAGAGAGAGTGTGATGGCCTGACTGGCCTGTGGGGGACCCCAGCGCCCCCTGGAGTTTAGAGGCCTGTCTGCCACCTCCCTTCTCCACCCCTGGCCTCTCACCCTCGAAGCTCCACTTGGGCCTCTGCCCGGACTGGTACCTCTAGCAGCACCATCTTGCTGTTTGGATTCTGGCTGTTCTTGCTAGAGGGGAGGGGATGAGAAGAAACAGGGCCACGGACACCAGCCCAGTGACTCTCTGGGGATGAGGACAGAATTTTAGAGTTCAGAGAGAACTAATTATACAAACAGCATGCCACACTGAAATGAGACTTGACAAAGAACTTCCTGTAGGGCTCTAAGACTCAGACACAGTCTCTGAGGAAGAAAGGGAACCAGGCTTTCTCGAAAGACTTTTTTTTTTGAGATGGAGTCTCACTCTGTCACCCAGGCTGGAGTGCAGTAGCCCAGTCTTGGCTCACTGCAACCTCTGCCTCCTGGGTTCATTTCAAGTGATTCTCCTGCCTCAGCCTCCTGAGTAGCTGGGATTGTAGGCACACACCACCACGCCATGCTAATTTTTGTATTTTTAGTAGAGATGGGGTTCCACCATGTTGGCCAGGTTGGTCTCCAGCTCCTGATCTCCAGTGATCAAGCCTCGGCCTCTCAAAGTGCTGGGATTACAGGTGTGAGTCACTGCGCCCATCCTCAAAAGACCCTTCTGTATGGAAGGGACCTGAGGGGTTCTGCATGGGGGTCAGACAGGGGAAGGGTGGTGGGTAGACGTGCTCGCCAGGTCAGTACCTCCGGATCTGCAGCTGGAAGGACACAGACTCTCCAGCCTCTTCCAGATTCCCCACGCTCACCAACATCGCGATTCCTATCTGAGAGACAAGGAGGGCCAAGATCACTGCCCAAATGCCAACTTCAGGCAGCCCTGCACTGAACATGGACTCCAGTCCTCACCCTCCAACATCACCATGAGTATTTTTTTTTTTTCAAGATGGAGTCTCACACTGTCACCCAAGCTGGAGTGCAGTGGCGTGATCTTGGCTCACTGCAACCTCCACCTCCCAGGTTCAAGCGATTCTCTTGCCTTAGCCTCCCAAGTAGCTGGAATTACAGGCGCCTCCCACCACACCCAGTTAATTTTTGTATTTTTAGTAGAGACGGAGGGTTTCACCATATTGGCCAGGCTGGTCTCGAACTCCCGACCTCAGGTGATCCGCCCACCTCGGCCTCCCAAAGTGCTGGGATTACAGGAATGAGCCACTGCACCCAGCAGGTCACCATTATTTCTATTTTACTTGGAAGTGCACTGGGTAAAGGGGCTCAGAGAGGGAAAGTCACTCACCCAAGGACATGTGGCCAGGGAGTGTGAGGACCAAGGTTCTGGCCCAGAACTATGTGGCTCTAAAACCTCACCCCTAAAATCTGGTTGTTCACGAGTCCCCGGTGGAGACTTGGCACCATGATCCAGTGGCCTCACCTGAGCGTTCTTCTTCATGGGGTTGCCCAGCTCACACAGCACCACGCTGGTCTCATTCTCCTTCTTCTGATTACAAATGAGTCTCTCAAAGCCCTTCAGGGAGGCAGTCCCAAGAAAGAAGTTGGTTACAGAGCATCATATATATATTTAAGCTCCCTTGGAAGGCCTGGAGAGATTTGTATGCCAAGGTAGGGAGGCAGGTCTCTTGGGGTGAGATCTCAAGGGACTGTCACATGTTAGTGTGTGCATTGCTGTAGCACTATTATTTTCATGAATTTTCATTTTGGAAATGAAAAACACAAAACATTAGAGTATAACCCCACTATTATAAACTTCATTAACAAACATAAAAAATCAATATATCTTATGTGACTGCCAGTCAATATTGAGAAAAAGACTGGAAGGAAATCCACCACATGTGAACAGAGGTTCCTGTTAACATTTGGTTCCTAAGCCTTTTTTGTTTTTCTGGTTTTTATAGTAGAGTTTTGGAATTCTATGCCATTAGCAAGGATTCCTCTTCCAAATTAAAAAAATAATAATATATTACATCTTTGACAGCAAAGCAAGAGAGAAGAGGGACTCTCGGGGAGGGAGATGAGAGAGCCGAGGCGGCAGCACCCCCAGGTCCCGGGTACTGCTCAGGGTGAGGGCCTCACCTCCACGTTGCTGAGGGCCCGCATGTAGTGGGCCCCCTGGGGCAGGTGCACAGCGAGCTCTGCTTCGTAGGCCCCCTCGCCCTTGTTGGCTGTGTCCATTTGCAGCTCCAGGACATTATCTGCTCCAACTAGGAGCGGGGAGCCGGTCCTGTGGGGAAAGAGGAATGAAGCCAGGGACCCTGGGTCCGGGCCCAGGGCCTGGGAGGAGAGGGGGACTCAGGTGGGGAACGGGTATGACGGGCAGAAAGGGCCAGGGTCGGGCAGAGCGGGAGGCCTCCTCACACGTTGGCAGTGAGCTGAAGCTGCGGCACGCACACGTCATCTTCCCCGCAGTCCAGGATGATTCTCGTCTAGAGGGGCACGTTGGGGTGTGTGGGTGAACTGGGGACGTGTGAGGTTTGGGGATTACATCAGGATTAGGAAAACAGTGGGCTTGGGGGTTCACATAGGGGCTTAGGGAGTAAGAAGATCTGAGGCCGAAAACGAGTTTGGAGATGATATCGGGGCTCTGGGGTTTATTTGGAGGTTTGGGATAATTTTGGCGTTCATCAATTTACATCTGAGCTTAGGAGATACTGGGATTTTGAGGGTTTTTTTTCTTTTTTTTTTTTTTTTGAGACAGCCTCACTCTGACACCTAGGCTGGAATGCAGTGGCGCAATCTCAGCTCACTGCAAGCCTCCCGGGTTCAAGCAATTCTCCTGCCTCAGCCTCCCAAGTAGCTGGAATTTCAGGCATGCATCACCACACCTGGCTATTTTTTTTTTTTTTTTGTCTTTTTAGTAGAGATGGGGTTTCACCATGTTGGCCAGGCTGGTCTTGAACTTCTGACCTCAGGTGATCTGCCTTCCTCGGCCTCCTTAAGTTCTGGGATTACAGGTGTGAGCCACTGTGACTGGCTGGATTTTGAGGTTTTCATTAGGATTTGGAATGACATTGAGGTTTTGGGGTTCACAGTACGACATGGCACTAACCCTAATCCTGACTTGCTGTCAGGGGTCCTGCACCTCCCTTGCCTGTCCCCACCTGTCCCTGTCCCTACCTGCTCCTGCACATGGGTGTGTCCATGTAGCATGACAGCAGGGGCTATTCCAGCCTCCTTGGGGGTCAGGGACACGTTGAGGCTGAGCACAATGGGGCTCAGCTTGTCCCGGAAGTCTGCCTCATCCTAGGATGGGAGCAAGAGTCAGGCCATTTTGCTGCCATGCACATCCCACCTTCTCCTGGCCAATAGGCGCGGTGTCCTGACCACCCCCGGACTCCCAGCACCCAGCTCAATGCCCCAGGGCTGGAAGAACAAGTCCAGCAGGCGACCTCTACACACCCAGCCCTGCCAATCCCTGCCTGGGCGTACTCGAAGGAAGGCCATGGTGGTTTGGCAGATGGGGCTGTGCCTTCCGCTCAGGTCCAGGTTCAGGGTGGTGCCCGCCTGCTGAGAGTCCAGCAGTAGCACCCGCCGGCCCTGGCGGGGCTTCTGCCGGTCCAGCTGCAGCTCAGCATTTAGGTCTGACCGGGCAAATGGAAGAGTCAGGAGCTCCCTGGCCAGCCTCTGGGGAAGTCCAAGCCCCCCTCCTCCCTCTCCACGCCACTCACACAGCTTCTGAGGAATGTTGTGTCCGGTGGCTCCAACACACATCTGGATGTTGAAGCTGCAAAGACGTAAGTGGGGCTCAGGGGCTGGGGCCTTTCTGAGGTCACAGATCTGTCAAGGCCCACGCCCTCCGCCTCCTCACCAGCTCACGGGTGTCTTAGTCTGGGGTAGGACACAGCTCTTCACAGCAGGATTCAGCGAATCTTGCACCAGTAGCTGGACAGAGGCTTTCACCACCGGCTGGGCTCTGATGGGATGGGGTGGTGGGGTAGTCTTGGCACTGTGGCTCCTCCTGGCCTGGCCTCCTCTGATGGCATGGGCCTTCCCCATCCCGCCCCTGGAGCCAGCGCTCACCTGTACACAGCCACCTGGCTGACCCCGTAAGCTCCCACGATCAGGTCTACAGACATCAGGGAAGGGGTCAGAATTGGCCATTAGAGAGGACATGGGATCCTCATCTCCTTCCCAGGGGTTCCCCATGCCACCTCCCTCACTGGAGCTTTGACCTGGCTCCTCTGGCATCCTGTAGTGGGATGCCAGGCCAGGCATGAGCCCCCAGCTGTGTCTCTCAACACTTCCAGCGAATGTCCAAGGGCCTTTCTTGGGCATTTCTAGCTGGAGGCAGTCCAGGGTACCTGGGTATCCATTGTCATCGATGTCTACGGCACCTCGAAGGGAGAAGCCAAAGGCAGAGCCTGTGGGGAAGGGGCTGTCCAGGACCTGGGAGGGACGTGAGCTCAGCCCCTCACTCTGACCCAGGAACACCAGCACTTGGCCACGGCCCCTGGGACCTCCATAGGGGACAGCCACTGCAATGTCTGGAAACAGTAACAGAAAGGGAGTGGCTGCTTGTTATTCGGTCTCCCTAGATGACTGTAAAACTTTCCTGAGCTTTTCTGAGCACATCCCAGGAGACCAGGAAAGGGATGCAAAGTCTGGGTGAAGAAGACACTGCCCTGCCCTCCAGGAGGTAACAATCAGGTGGGAGAGAAACCTGCCAAGTAGGATTGTTATTAAAACAGCGACAACTCTCACTGTCTATTGAGGAACGTATATTCACAATATTTCATTTAATCCTGAAAATTAAGCATCATTATGCCCTTTTCTAAATTTTTTTTTTTTTTAATCGAGTCTCACTCTGTAGCCCAGGCTGGAGTGCAGTGGTGCGATCTCGGCTCACTACAACTTTTTTCTCCCCCGTTCAAGTGATTCTCCTGCCTCAGCCTCTCCAGTAGCTGGGATTACAGGTGTGAACCACCACATGCGGCTAATTTCTGTATTTTTAGCAGAGGCGGGGTTTTACCACGTTGGCCAGGCTGGTCTCGAACTCCTGACCACAAGTGAGTTGCCCACCTTGGCCTCCCAAAGTGCTGGGATTACAGGTGTGAGCCACCGTGCCTGGCCATCTAGTATCTATTTCTAACCTTCTCCATTCTGTCAAGCTCCCAGCCGCCCACTCCCTTCAGCAGGTGACATCATCTTACTTCAGGAAGAAAGGCAGCCCACTATTATGCTATAATCCCACACCGACTTTATTTCCCCTTTCCCCATTTGACCCTGGAAGAGGTTTCCTTCCTTAACCCTGACACCCGGCCAGTCACCCTCCCACCCCTGAGGCATCACAGGGACCCTCCGCCAGCTCAACCCCCCATTTCCCCACAATATCATTTTCCTCCACATTCAACCTACTCTACACTCTTCCACATTGAAATAATCTTCCTTTGACCTGCACCCCTTTTCTATGATCACCTTTTCTTTTTCCTCTCATAGTCAGACATGTTCTTTTTTTTCTTTCTATTCCTCAAATTCCTCTTTGCCACAAACCTGTTGAAAGAGCTGTCTACATTAGCTGCCTCCAAGTTTTCACTTCCATTCATACCTTAATCAGTTGCATTCTGGCTTCTGACCCTACCTTGGCCTGAATCAGTTTGTCACCAATACCTGCCCCTACCCCCCATTTTCTTTCTTTTTTTTTTTTTTTTTTTTTTTTTTTTTTTTTTTTTTTTAGACAGAGTTTGGCTCTGTTGCTTTGTTGCCTAGGCTGGAGTGCAGTAGTGGCGTGATCTTGGCTCAGGGCCACCTCCACCTCCCAGGTTCAAGCGATTCTCCTGCTTCAATTTCCCAAGTAGCTGGAATTACAGGCCTGACTCGTCTTGCCCAGCGTCCCCTCGCTAAAGCCCATGGACTCTTCTCCAGCCCCATCTAATTGTACCTTGCAGCAGCTGCAGGAGCCAAAGCACGCACTTCCTCCTGCGCATGCTCTTTAATGCACCTCTTTCTTGAGTCCCGGGACATCAGACCCCTGGGTTCCCTCCTCCCTCTCCAGATGCTCCTCCATCTCCTCAGACTCACCTCCAGTAGGAGTCACCTAAATGCTTTTGCTCCTTGGGCTCTATCCTGGGCCTCTTCTCATTTCGCAGGCTCCCAGGACCTCATCCACCCTCATCGACCCACCATCCAAACCCCTGCCTCCCATTTACATCTCTCTTGTGGAAGCGGGGGAGGCCACTCCCAACTGTTCTTTGGATATTTCTACCTAAAGCACCCAAGCCTTTCAAGCTCAACAAGTCCAGAGCTAAACTGCTGATCCCCCACCTCTCCTCAACACCGGCTGCACGGCCTGAGTTCCAGACAGTGGAGGGCATCACACGCACCCAACTCCAACCTCTCCCTCTGCCCCACATCCAGTCTCCCAGCAAGTCCTGAGAATCCAAGTTCTAAATATCTGTGAAGTCACTCCCATCTCTAACTCCACCACCAAAATAAATCCACATCCAGGTGGTGGTTGTCTCTTGCCTGGATTAAGTCTCCTTCATATCTCCCACATGCTCTCCCTCAGCGGGCCATGTGTCTAAGCCACATACATACTTATATGCTGAAAGCCCATCCTGATTCTGGCTGCCCTAGGCCAACTCCATGGCTTTATGTGTGGCTGTTAATCCCTCTGCAGCAAGTATGCTTCCTCTCTTCCCTCACCATTGTAGCCATCCCGGTCGAGGTCGCCCAGGGGTGCGATGGCAGAGCCGAATCGCCCATAGAGCTGTGTGCCAGTCAGCAGGAGGCTGGGGGCACCCAGCGCGTGGGAGCCTCGGGGCTGCAGGTACAAATACACACGCCCCACTTCTGCCAGTTTTCGGTCTGCTCGGCTCTCCATGTACAGTGGAGCGCCCACCAGCAGGTCATGCCTCCTGTTGGCCAGATGGGTGGTTACATGGGACTGGACTAGGGCCATGTTGGGGCCAGGGCCAAGTCTCCCCCACCCTTGCTCTCCTGTTCCCCCGGTGGGCACGTGAGAGTAGGGGCTAGGAAAGGGCAGCTCTGGGAACTGACGACCCAACTGGGTTGTAGTGGGGCATGTCCCTCCTCACCCATCCCCGTTGACGTCAGTGACAGCCACTGAGTGCCCAAAATACGAAGCCATCTGCAAGATGAGGAGCACCATCATTCACGCCTCTGGACCAGCATCCTCTCTAAGAAATGGGCCCTCATCTCCTGTGAAATAGTCTGAAGTCTCAGTTCCCCCTCCACCCAGCCACTCCCACTGGGACCTGGCCCCCACCTGCTCGCCGTGCAGCAGGTGCAGCCTCTGGTAGTAGGAGTCCAAAATTTCCACCTGCAGGGACAGCGAAGGTGAGAGCATCATTCCTGTTCCCAAAGCAGCCTCCATTCCAGGTGAGACAGGGCGGTCAGGGGACTGGGATAAGGGGCTTCAGGATGCCCAGTGGGTGGGCACTCACGGCTCCCAGGGTCCAGCTTCTAGTAGGGGCACCGACGACATACTCTGGGGAGAGGGAGAGCCAGGCTCAGGGAATGAGAGCCTTAGAATCCACACCCTTCCCGCTCCCCGTTCTGCACCCAGGGAAGATTTATATGCAGGAAGATTTCCCTACACAGGGGAGATTTCAGGGAGGGGCTCCTCCCCGGGCTGGGCTCCCTAGCCCCCGCCCTGACTACGTGGATTTCTTGCCTGTAGTGTTGAGATCCCCGTCGAAGTCGCCCACGGCCACCGAGTACCCTGAGGACAAGGCCCAAATTAGTCTTTCCAGGGGGAGGAAGAAGGGAGGGGGCGGAGGGCAACGAAGGAGGAGGTTAAGGCCACTCAGCTCCAACTCTGCAACGTGCAGATGGAAAAACGGAGGCCAGCGAGCGAGCCAAGCCCGGCCCAGTCCGGGGCGGAAGCGGGCAGTGGGCGCAGGGGAAGAGGGCGGTCTGCGGGGAAGCGACCTAGGCGGTGGGCCAGCAAGCCGGGGTGGGCACGGAGACTCCCGCAGGGGCAGGACCTGACTGTCTGTGGTGGGCGGTGGCCCTTGGGGTGCTGGAAGTCTGGAAGGGCGGTGTTACCCCAGTAGCCGTCGAAGTACTCTGGGTTGCTGGAGTCGAAGGAGAAGCTCTGGGAGGACACGTGCCACAAAAGGGTCCCCGGGCGGTAACTCGAGAAAATATTCGCAATTGGAGCCTGGGCCAGGAGACCTGGTGCGGGAGGGACAGAGAGTGTGGGGCCCAGACACCGGGGGTCTCCTCGGGCCGCCAGAAGGGAGGGAGATGTACGGATGGGCACGTACCTAAGAAATAATAGCCGCCAGGAGCCCCAAGCACCAGCTCCCCAGCCTGGAAGGGAAGCCCTGACGGTGAGAGGGGGCCCTGTTTGCGGGCCACCCCCACTCCACTTTTGTTCCCTACTTGCCTGAGTGACCACCGAGCTGAAGCCCGCTTCACAGTAACGCCTGTCCCAGCCTGCGGGAGGCAAGGAGGAGGGGTCAGTCAGCGCAGGGGTGGAAGGAGGCGCGCGAGTCTGGAGGAGGGCGGGAGGGATCCTGCAGGGGCGGGGCCTGGAGCCGGCAGGGCCCCGGGGCGAGGCCAGATCCAAAGCCCGGGCTGCGGCGCCGGGGGCGGGATCCGATGGAGGGCGGGGCTAAGGCGCCGCGAGTGGGCGGGGCCAGGTCGTGGCGGGCGCTTACTAAAGTCGTTTTCCAAGTAAACGCGGCTCAGGGTGTTTCCGCGACACGGGGAGTACTCGGCGCGGCGGCCGCTCTGCGGCTGAGCCAGAAAGCAGCCGCCTACGGGCGTCTTTTCAGCTTCTTCGGTCTTTTCTAGGACGTTCCAGTGCTGCCAGGGGGCGCAGGCCTGGAGAAAGGCCACAGAAGAGTGGGGACGCGCGCGAGACTTGGGCTCATCCCGGCCCCACGTGTCCCTGCCCCCGACCGTTCCCTGTGCCCTGTACCGCGGGGCCCACCACAATGGTGTCGCTCCAGCTGACGACCGACGCCCCCAGTCCCTGGTGGGCCTTGAAGGTTTGTAAAGTCTGGGCGCCTACATATCGGGTCTCATCACCTGGAGGGCACAAGAAGGGGTGGGGCGCTGAAGCCAGACAGTCCACGTCCCTCTGGCTCCTCCCTTGCCCGCCTTGCCTGGGACTCACGGAGGTCAAAGAGCAGCGAGGAGCACTGGCCGCCCTCGGCCCTCCAGGGGCACAGGAACACGCCGCCCGTCTCCTCCTGGCTGGGGCCCAGGGTCCGCGGGGCGCCCACCACGATGGCCACTCTGCACAGGAAAGCTGGGTGAGCGCCGCGCAGATTCCGGCGTATCCCAGGCCCTGGTGCCTGCGCTGGGGGCACGGCCCTGAAGGCGATGTGGCATGGGGGCCACATCTTTCCTCAGTGACACTTCACAGACCACCGAGACATACTTCTTCATCTTATGGACAGTGAAACTGACTCTCAGCGAGGGTACTCACGTGCCTAAAGTAAGCCGTGAGTTGAGAGTAAAGCTGGGACTATTATATAACCGTTTGGTTTGAACACCGGGGGTTTGAGATCGTTGCTGAAAAAGACCTAAATTCTGTACACTATCTCCATCATTCCACCCACAAGAAGAACCAGGGGTTCACATGATCCCCTGAACGCCTGTCTAGCCTGTTACCAGATCCCCTCTTCAGAGCTGGTTTTAATGAGGGAAGGTAGAGTGTACCTCTAAAGTGGGGGTTACTTGTGTGTGTTGACAGAGATGAGGACTACCAGATCTAGGTTTAAATCACAATTCTGCCATACCTGAAATAGGAATACCAATTTCACAACCAATGACTGGTTTTCACAACCAATCAGTGCTGCCAGAAGTAAATGTAATAAATATGAGTGACGGCATGGTCCCAGACAAATACATAGCAAGCGCTCTTGAAACAATGTTATAATTTTTAAAAATAATTTTGTCGTTTTGTTTTGAGACAGGGTCTCATTCTGTTGCCCAGCTGGAGTGCAGTAGCATAATCATGGCTGATTGTGGCCTTGACTTTCAGGGCTCAAGCGATCCTTTCCCCTCAGCCACCCGAGTAGCTGGGCCTGCAGGTCTGTAACACCATGCTTGGCTAATTAAAAACAATATTTTTGTAGGCTGGGCACGGTGGCTCACGCCTGTAATCCTAGCACTTTGGGAGGCCAAGGTGGGCAGATCACTTGAGGCCAGGAGTTCGAGACCAGCCTGGCCAACATGGTGAAATCCTGTTTCTACGAAAAATATTTTTAAAATTAGCCTAGCATGCTAGAGACTTTATGGCAGGATGTTAAAAAAAAGAAAAGAAAAGAAAAGAAAAAAACCAAAATTAGTCTGGTGTGGTGGTGCATGCCTGTAGCCCCAGCCACTCAGGAGACTGAGGCAGGAGAACAGAGCAAGACTGTCTCAAAAAATATATATATATATATGTGTGTGTGTGTGTGTGTGTGTGTATATATATATTTTAGAAATAAGGTCTCACTGTGTCACCCAGGCTGGTCTTGAACTCCTGAGCTCAAGTGGTCCTCCTACCTTGCTCTCCTAATGTGTTGGGATTATAGGCGTGAGCCTCTGTGCCTGGCCTATGATATTTTTTTAGCCTGCAGGATGTTTAAGTAGTGCCAATGGGATCACTACTTACAGGAGGGGAAAGAAGCAGGAGTGGGCACAGGAAGAAGTTGAGCTGATTCAGGCCCAATGACAATATTCGCCAACACCCCGCGAGCTCTGGAGCTAGGATGATGCTTCAGAATTGTCAGAGTTGGCTGGGCATGGTGGCTCATGCCTGTAATCCCAGCACTTTGGGAGGCCAAGGTGGGCGGATCACCTGAGGTCAGGAGTTTGAGACCAGCCTGACCAACAGGATAAAACCCCATCTCTACTAAAAATATAAAAACTAGCCAGTCATGGTGGCACATGCCTGTAATCCTAGCTACTCAGGAGGCTGAGACAAGAGAATTGCTTGAATCTGGGAGGTGGAGGTTGCAGTGAGCTGAGATTGAGCCATTGCACTCCAGCCTGGGCAACAAGAGCAAAACTCTGCCTTAAAAAAAGAAAAGAAAACATGAAAAAAATAGTAAGAATAAAGAAGAAGGACTGGAAAATATAGTAAACCAATGAACGAGGAGAGATTTAAATAGTAGTTTCCTATTTATTACAGAAGGAGCAGAATTGAAAAAAAAAAGGATTGTCAGAGTTGATGAAAGAGGGCTGGACCCTTATCAAACGCCTCCCCCACCCCCGCCTCCACCCTCCCCACTCGCCCACTTCGCATTGATCAGTCATTGTATGTGGGCCAACTTGGGAGCCGACTTTGAGGGAACGGGCTCTCTTCAGCAGAGGAAATCTCCTAAGTGGCTGACACTTGAAGGCTATCTGCCATTGCCACTCCCTGAAGCTGGGCACAGTGTTTTCTACAGTAAGTAGCTCAGGATACATGCTGTGAAGAGGAGGAGCCAAGACTCTAATCTTGGCACTCTTGATTCTGAAGCCTGATCAATACTAACCATTAATGATCTATTGCTTCTTTTCAAATACCTATAACCTTGATGGAGATGAGGGAAATGGAATAGAAAAGCAAGGTGGGGGAGGGTAGACAACTTTGATTCTGCAAATTAATTTAGGACATGTGCTCCTCTCTGCATTTCAAGGTGCTGAAGGTGGAGTGGTTCATACAACTGACCCTTGGGGAAAATAAGGCATCTTGCCTTCCCTTTGTTCTTGCTGTAGTTTCAGTGCCCATTGCCCCACCTGTGTTCCGCCCTTACACCTTCACCTGAGCCAGTCCCCTCAACCCCATTATTCTTGACAAGAAATCAACCTGAATAGGCCCCAGAAGTCACCTGCCTCAACTGCTATCACAAATGGGAAAGTTGGAGACCCAGCAGAAGTGACGGAGAGGGGTCCTGCTCTATCCCAATACCCGAACTGCCCTCAACGGCTCACCTCCCATGGCTGTCCTTGTGGAAGTCCAGTGAAAATCCAAAGTGGCTGCCATTGGGGCCTGCATAGAAGGTGAGCTGCACTGGGTCCAGGTTCAAGGCCCAGGCTGGAGGGGCAGCACAAGGTCCCAAGAGCAGCAGCACCCACTCTAGAAGCCAGAGGGCTTGCAGTGGACACAAAGCCCTGGCCATCTTCCTTCTTCCACAACCTCCTAGGCAAGAATGGGCCAGCTCCTCCTTCTTCCTTTCAGATTCCTCCACAGGAAGTCTTTTCTTATCGAACTGGAACCTGAAGTAACTTGCTGAGAAGTGGGCAGAGCAAAGGGCTATAGCCCCTGGACTCATGGTTGCTAGGATCACCAGGAAGTGGGTGAGGCCACCCAGAGTGTGGGTGCCCATGGCTGAAAGCCATGACTCCTCCCTTTTCCTGAGAATAGTTTATTACCAAGTCCTATTGGTTCTGTCTCTCAATGATGTCTCTTGAGTCTTTACCCCATCTCTACCACCACCATGCTAGTCCAAGCCACCGTCACCTTCTGCTTGGAATAGCATGACTGAGAACTAGTCTGTATCTGTCTAGAATAGCCTACAGTTCTAATCTCTTCCCTTCCCCCATCTGGCTGTACAGCTGCGGTGCTTTGTGACTTGACCAGAGGTTGGGGAAGGAGCAGGAAACTGCTGCCCCTGATAAAACCTGAGGCTGCTGTATCTTTTTAGATACGGCATTTACCCACTTCCTCCTTCTAGGACCTTGGGCAGCCTCAACTAGCCATTTTGGCACAGTAGCTTTCTCCTCCTCCATTTTGAGCCAAGCCTTAGTGCGGTCACAGCAGTGCAGTCAGTGCTGGGGACAGGGTGGTGAATGGACCTTGGTAGAGGCGGCAAGGAGACTGGGGATAAAGTGGAGTCATTCTGGGGAATTTTGACTCACAAGCTCTGAGATTATGCATTAGTTGTTCAGTAGGCCCTCTCTCCTTTTTGGGTGATGGAGTTCTTGTTCAACCATTAAGACTTGATTCTGGTTGGGGTCTTTGCCTAGGGGCGCCTTTCCTGACTCCTCAGGCTGGTCATGAGGGCCCACACACTTAGGCACAGCATTGAGCCACTGTTTACGCATAGTCTGTTCACAGGATTGTGTAAATGAGTCCCTTGAGAGCAAGGCTCCTTGCTACAGCCCTAGAGACTACCCAAGAGTCCAACCTGTCGTACGTGTATTGCTGAAATACTGGACAGAAACACGCACTAAGGATGGAAGATGCAAACATAGGGTGACAAAGAGAAGAGATGACTTTTGAGCAGAAAGGCAAAGTCATTTTCTATGGGTAAGCGGAAGAGGAGGAGTGCCAAGTCGTACTGGCACTCATGCCTTCCCAAAAAAGCAGGTTCTCAGGAAGATTTAAGAGGTCTGCTAGGGGTAAGGGACCATAGCCACATTTTCCTTTTGATTTCTATTTTCTGAACAAACTTAACCATTGCCATATCGTGCTCAACCAACCTGTGCCTTTTTTTTTTTTTTTTTTTTGAGATGGAGTTTTGCTCTTGTTACCCAGGCTGGAGTGCAATGGCGCGATCTCGGCTCACCACAACCTCCGCCTCCTGGGTTCAGGCAATTCTCCTGCCTCAGCCTCCTGAGTAGCTGGGATTACAGGCATGTGCCACCATGCCCAGCTAATGTTTTGTATTTTTAGTAGAGACGGGGTTTCACCACGTTGACCAGGATGGTCTCAATCTCTTGACCTCGTGATCCACCTGCCTCAGCCTCCCAAAGTGCTGGGATTACAGGCTTGAGCCACTGCACCCAGCCCAACCTGTGCCATTTTGAAGTCTCCTCATACTTCACTGCCTCAGCATAGAGCTAAGAATCTTTTTTTTTTTTTTTTTTTTTTTTTTTTTTTTTTTTTTGAGACGGGGTTTCGCTCTTGTTACCCAGGCTGGAGTGCAATGGCGCGATCTCGGCTCACCGCAACCTCCGCCTCCTGGGTTCAGGCAATTCTCCTGCCTCAGCCTCCTGAGTAGCTGGGATTACAGGCACACGCCACCATGCCCAGCTAATTTTTTGTATTTTTAGTAGAGACGGGGTTTCACCAAGTTGACCAGGATGGTCTCGATCTCTCGACCTTGTGATCCACCCGCCTCGGCCTCCCAGTGCTGGGATTACAGGCTTGAGCCACTATGCCTGGCCAGAGCTAAGAATCTTAACTTTTTTTTTTTTTTTTTTTTTTTTAGACGGAGTTCTGCTCTTGTTACCCAGGCTGGAGTGCAATGGCGCGATCTCGGCTCACCGCAACCTCCGCCTCCTGGGTTCAGGCAATTCCCCTGTCTCAGCCTCCTGAGTAGCTGGGATTACAGGCATGTGCCACCATGCCCAGCTAACTTTTTGTATTTTTAGTAGAGACGGGGTTTCACCATGTTGACCGGGACGGTCTCGATCTCTTGACCTCGTGATCCACCCGCCTTGGCCTCCCAAAGTGCTGAGATTACAGGCTTGAGCCACCACGCCCGGCCGAATCTTAACCTTTATAGGACAGGAAGCTAAAACCCTGAACTTTGGTCTGGGCCTTCTTCATTGCTGAGTACCCAGTGTCAAGTTCATGGCGGGCATGTAATGTATTTGCTAGACTATACCAGTCCTCTACTTATCCTCCATCCTCCCACTATCCTCAAGTGAGTAACTGCTGTATTACTGGTGTATTCTATGAGCCCATATATTAACTCACATGTCACTCAAGTTTTCAATCAGTATTTACTCTGTTTAAGGCACTGTGTAGATAAAGGATACAAAGATAACCATCAGGCCAGGTGCGGTGGCTCTTGCCTGTAATCTCAGCACTTTGGGAGGCTGAGGCGGGAGGATGGCTTGAGCTCAGCAATACAGTGAGACCTTGTATCTATTTTAAAATTGTAAAAATAAAATTAAAAAACTCTGGGCCAGGTGCAGTGGTTCATACCTGTAATCTCAGCCCTTTGGGAAGCCAAGGCAGACAGATCACGAGGTCAGGAATTTGAGACCAGTCTAACCAATATTGCAAAACTACGTCTCTACTAAAAATACAAAAATTAGCCGGGTGTGGTGGTGCATGTCTGTAATCCCAGCTACTCCAGAGGCTGAGGCAGGGGAATAACTTGAACCTGGGAGGCGGAGGTGGCAGTGAGCCGAGATCTCACCACTGCACTCCAGCCTGGGCAACAGAGCCAAACTCCATCTCAAAAACCAACCAACCAACCAAACAACCGAAAGATAACTATCAAGGAGTCTTAACAAATAACCCGGAAAGAGTTAAGACATGAACACACATAACTGCAGCAAAAGGACAGTAAAACATGCCTTGAAAAATATACAGATTACCAAAGTCACGTATCATTGTCCTCATAACAACCCTAGGAAAAAAGGACTATTTTGTCTATTTTATGACACAAAAACTGTGGCATAAGAGTTTTTTTTTTTTTTTTTTTTTTTTTTTTTTTTTTTTTTTTTTTTTGAGACGGAGTTTCGCTCCTGTTACCCAGGCTAGAGTGCAATGGCGTGATCTCGGCTCACCGCAACCTCCACCTCCTGGGTTCAGGCAATTCTCCTGCCTCAGCCTCCCGAGTAGCTGGGATTACAGGCACGTGCCACCATGCCCAGCTGATTTTTTGTATTTTTAGTAGAGACGGGGTTTCACCATGTTGACCAGGATGGTCTCGATCTCTTGACCTTGTGATCCACCTGCCTCGGCCTCCCAAAGTGCTGGGATTATAGGCGTGAGCCACCGCGCCCAGCCCGGCACAAGAGTTTTTAGGTAAATTGCCCATGTTTACACAACCAACAGCTGGCAAAACTAGGATTCAAACCCGGGTTGCACTTGAACCCATGTTCAAGTTGCCTTTTGTCAGAGAATGAACAGGTTTTTAGGCATAGAGAATATATGAGAGCAGCAAAGGAACACAGAGGTCAATTATGGGGAAGGACAAGTAGTTGACTCAGTGTAGTAGAGTGCTTAAAGGGGTGGACTGAGGTGCAAGGGGGAAAGGAAGGCTTGGGAGTTCAAATCACTGGAGGTCCTTGAATGCCATATTAAGGAATCTGAACTTTAATCCATGGGAGCCGGGCGCGGTGGCTCAAGCCTGTAATCCCAGCACTTTGGGAGGCCGAGGCGGGTGGATCACGAGGTCAAGAGATCGAGACCATCCTGGTCAACATGGTGAAACCCCGTCTCTACTAAAAATACAAAAAAATCAACTGGGCATGGTGGCGCGTGCCTGTAATCCCAGCTACTCAGGAGGCTGAGGCAGAATTGCCTGAACCCAGGAGGTGGAGGTTGCGGTGAGCCGAGATCGCGCCATTGCACTCCAGCCTGGGTGACAAGAGCAAAACTCCGTCTCAAAAAAAAAAAAAAAAAAAAAAAAAAAAAAAAAATCCATGGGAGATGGAAAATTATCATAAAGATTTTGGCTAGGCACGGTGGCTCATGCCTGTAATCCCAACACTTTCGGAGGCCAAGGCGGGCGGACCATGAGGTAAGGAGTTGAAGACCAACCTGGCCAACATAGTGAAACCCCGTTTCTACTAAAAATACAAAAATTAGCCAGGTGTGGTGGTGCCTGCCTGTAATCCCAGCTACTCCAGAGGCTGAGGCAGGGGAATCACTTGAACCCGGGAGATGGAGGTTACAGTGAGCCAAGATTAGGCCACTGCCCTCTAGCCTGAGCGACAGGCACTCGGTCTCAAAGAAAAAAAAAATTTTAATGTCACAGAGTAAGAGATTTAATGACCAATTACGCTCCAATGTGGAAGATTACAGTGGCTGCCTGTCTGTGGATAGAACAAACTAGAAAAGGAAGGACTTAGTGGGAAGACCAGATGGGTAATGACTGCAGTTCTCTGGTTTAAAGGTGATGAGGCCAGGGGTACTGGTGGCAAGAACAAGACAGCAGAGATTATGGAATCAGTAAATAGATTTAGAAGGAAGGTGGCAAAGGTAATTTGAAGCTTTGGTGCCTGGCTGGCAGGACAGTGGTACCATAAACAACAATTGGAAACAGGTGGAGGGAGGATCAGATTTGGGAAGGGAAACGAGTTTGCTACTCAATACGAATTGTGTTCTTTTGTTGTCAGAGCTGTGTTGATCTCCCTCCTGAGACTGGGCAGAGGAGTGCTGACAGAATCCTATAATTCTACAGTGAATTCAGGTAAGGCTTCATCCAGTCAACAATTAGTGAGCTTCTATGATATGCCTGGCACTGAGCTAAGTGATGTGAAGGTTAAATTTTTAAAAATAATTAAAAAAATTTTTTTGCCTCAATCCTGAAGCACAATCTTCAGTTAATGGTATTT